AAGTTAACTTTTAGTCAACTAGTTGACTTTTTGGTCAACAGTTGACTTTTGGTCAACTCTTGATTTATTTGGTCATATAGTGACTAATTAGTTAAAGATTGGAATAATACTATATACCGTATTTATGAAATACTGTATTAGTGATAATAATTTGGTATTCTCATTTATGAAATACACATACCATGTATAATGAGTCATGAGATGAGTCACTTAGTGGTATGGTTTGAGCACATGGTTTATTAGCACATGGTTTTGAAATGTAATGATTCATAAGATGATTCATTGCATGACTCACTTGATTAATCATTAATTTTTGATGATTCATTGCATGACTCATAGGATGAGTCATTCATATCATGAACACATTTCACTCTATAAATATGAGCTCTTTTTCTTATGGAAAGGTTAATGAAAAATTGGCTAAGTGTTTTTTTTCCATAAGAGAATTAAAGAGAGCTCTCCTCTTACTAAACTTTAGCAATCTTTGAGCAAGAGGAAGTAGTAGGATTTTAAGAACCCCGGGGTGGATATCTTGCCTTGTGTCTTAAGAAGACTCTCATTTTATCAAGCTCACTTGAAGACTTGGAGATCCACTACAAGGAGATTTTCTACTACAAGGAGCAAGAGCTAGGGGTTATTCGATCTTCCATCGAATCACGCTACGAAAGTATGACTTTCTAACTCTTGTATGCTCACATAATAATAAGGATCATGTTAGATTTAATTAGATGATCCATATGAATATTTCATGCTCTCTACATGCTTAGTATTTTTGTACATACATGTCTTCCGCTGTGTATTATGCATGTAGACATAGCATGATTTCCTTCAACTTTTCCCAGCACCGATCAGCAACATGCCCTGTCTTCTCGCAGTGACTACAAATCAGTTCTGCTTTCCTTGGATCACCCTTCTCCTCCTCCTTATGTTTGGAACTACTAGACTCGCCTCCCGTCTGTTTGGAGTCTCCCTTAGTCTCGTTGCCTTTCTTCTGCTTGCCCTCAATGGCAATAGCCTTCACGCTCACCTCTGCAATAGTCTCCATCGTGAATAACTTCATCTCCTTTCGGATGTAATCTCTCAAACCCACCATATACTTCATAAACGCAGAATATTCCTCTGTCGTAATATTAAGAACCATCGCCTGCTGTTGGAACTCCGTGGTGTATTCTTGAACGGTTTGATTGATCCTTTGGCGCAAGCCGTACCACTTGTACCAGCGCTCCTCAAGGAATCCTACCGGGTATAACTGCTTCCTCAGTAACTCCTTAAACTTGTTCCACGACACCGCCTTCTTCTCCTGCTTGCAGTAAGATTTCCACCACGTCAACACGTGCCCTGAAAGCTTCAAAGTCGCGAACACAATCTTCTCCTTGGACGAATATCCGTAGAGAGTGAAATACATCTCCATACATTCGATCCAATCATCGAGTTTCTCTACATTAACACTCCCATCATAAACAGGAATCTCCACCTTGAAGTCAATCTTCAGGTTCTGGTAAGAATTCTTACCCCCTTGATGCAATGCAGCCTTAACGGTCTCCTCCTCCTCGTCGGGATCTGAATCCACTCTCTCCACATCGGACTCCACAATTTTCTTCTTGGACTTTGAAGAAGACTGACGAGTTGTGTGATAATAGACCCTATCGTCTCAATCTGCTTCTCTAATGCATCAATCCTTGCTGAATTGTCTCATTCAGCCATCTTATTCTTCCTTAAAACCTGGACTCCTTCCAATAAAATAAGGATCTCGCCTAGCTTCTTGTATTGCGATCGAGTCAGGACCATACACAGGATGCCCTTCTACCGGATCTGATCATACTGATACCAATTTGATACGAGTCGCCGTGCGAGCACCTTTGATCGCGAAATTATCAAAGGTGAGTTGAAAAGAGGATGACAGAAATACAAGAACAATTCAGTATGTGGCGACGGAAAATACTCTCTCTAGATTATGAGTATGAAAAGATTACAATCTCTCTCTCACAATCTTATAGAATCGAGAACAAGCTCTCAATTCTCTCTAAACCCTAATCTCTCTTGATTAGAATCTCACTCTGATTACATCTGCTTTGATTAGAAACCCTAAACAATCCCTTATATATGTGTAAATGTGGATGACAAAATGGTAAATAACCAAGCCCAAACCCAACAGGAATTCGTGCAAATAGAAACCCAAACGAACCAGGAAACCTTCGATGAGTCGACTCACGTGCAGGTATGAGTCGACTCGTCCGAAACTGGATAAAACACAAAACCAGTAATGAGTCGGCTCATGACTGAGATGAGTCGACTCGTCAGAGACTGGTGACAAACGGCTGAGTTTCATAAGTCGACTTATTACAGGCATGAGTCAACTCAACCTGATGAGTCGACTCATAACTGTTATGAGTCGACTCACGGGCTAAAAACTGGATGCTTCAATTCTTTGATTCGTCGTCTCGTTCCATACTTCAACCTGCGTTCCACTGTGCTGTTTTACACCTCTATTCTCAAGCTACCATGAGAATCATCTATCCTCAAGCTCCCATGAGGATCACTAAGTTCCAAAGAGAAGATACACCTGTATCAATTTAAACAGTTACTAACTCAATGCATTTTTTTTGCTATGTTTTGTACCTTAGGGTATATAACTACTACAAGAGCAAAACAATAGGGTGTATAAGTGCCATTTATCCATGTTTAAATTACAAAAAAAACATTCTAAAATTCAGAGATTTCAAAACTTAGAACAACATAGATGGATTCTAGGGGATTACCATTAGGCACGTAGAATTTAAAATTAGTAAAAAAGCCTCAAAGTTACAAAAATTACAAAAAATCTCTCAAAAGTAAAAAATTATTAAATTTTTTTAAAATTTTAAAACTTATAACGGGTACACATCAAATTTAGAAATTATCAGCAGATTGCTAAAATTTTAAATTTTTAAAAAAACAACCCAAAATCTTAGTAATTATAAAAATACCTTCAAATTTTCAGAGTTACGAGAAATATTCTAACATTTAAAAATTTATCACCAATACATAAAACATAAAAATTATAAGCGCCCAACTTAAAATTTAAAATTTTAATAAAATACTATCAAATTTTAAAAATTACAAAACACGCCCTTAAAAGTTCAAATCACAAAAAGGCTAAAATTTGGCAAAGAAAAGAGGAAATATTTGATATTATTACATTAAGATATAATAGGTTAGTATTAATTGATTATAATGTATAAATATTTATCTCTAATATTGATAATATTTATTTTTAAAGTAAAAAAATACAAGGAGTTGTGAATGGAGAAACTATCAGAAAGTTCAGAGATATCCTTTAAAAGAACTAAGTTGTTTTCATTTCAAATGGAGAAGTGAAGGAAATAAACTCAAAATTCAGAAACATTCATGAATCACTTGAATTGACATTGATAAAAAGCTTATTGAGCAAAGAAACACTAACCGAGTTCTCCTTGAAAAACATATTGAACAATTATGTCCTAATTAAAAAAACATTATTCACGAAAAGTACAAGAAAAATTAGTAAATACTTATAATTTTTCATACTTTATTATAAAAATACTGAAGGAATCATAAACTTAATATAAAATTTCATATAAATAATCTTGCAATAGGAACTAAAGTGAAGCTATTGATCAACTACATTGCGAGATATAATAAACTAGATAAGATGAGAAAAATCACTATAATGGATAAAAAATATGCACACGATACTTAGTTACCATAGTGTAAGTAAAAAAAATTAAAATTGATATTTTTCTTTTCTCTATATAGTGGCACGACTCTGCAAGTATCATTATTTGGGGATATGACTACCAACGAAAGATTAATTTTTAAGAACACGATTAAAGATAAGCATGTAATAGTACTGTCATATTTCAAGATCTTTAAATATGAAGGTAACATATTTTACAACTAAAATTCTTATTAATGGTCACTAAATATAAAATTCATCTTATACATGTCTCAAATTTGTATGAAAGATATGCATGCTATCGTAAATTGTGTTAATAATATATTAAATTATTGAAAAAAATAAGAGATAAATAAGCAAACCAAGAAAACATCTATATAACACGATAAAGAAAAAATATTACACTTTAAAGCTAATATGCAGGGCTCATTCAGAATAAGCTGCTAAAACAAAAGCATCTCCATTAAGGATCTTTATAAATACAACAAAAATTTAAATTATTTAATATTTTTAAAAATAGCTTATTTTTTTGAGTAAAATCAGGAATCTTTATAAGTGATTTTCATGAACTCTTTTAATTTTTGATATGGTTATGTGGATGCTTTTATCATATAAAAGTGTACTAGAATTAGCATTAATATTTATTTTATGATTTTTTTAAAGTCTATCAGTGATTAGCAACAAAATTTATATTCTCATTAGTTTCATTCTAGCCCACTTTTAATTAATCATATTGTCTTATTGGCTTTAACTATTCATCCTTCTTTTATAGCATTATCTTTTCAAGTGTTTTTCACTTTTACAACATTATACCTTCTTAAGTCAAGCTTGGTTTCATGCCGATCTAAATAACATGAAAATTTAAATTAGCTTTAGATTATAGTTATATTTGTCAATTCAATATTACATGAAAAGTTTAAATTTGATGTAGCCCATTCAAACAAACATTAAAAAAATAAATAATCACAATAGTAAAGTTTGAAAATATAAGTGAGAAAAACAATTAAAGTAAAACTAAGAAACAAATTTTAGTAAAGAAATAAGTCAAAAATACTTAATCATAATATTTTATCACGTGCATTGCTACATAAATCCTAGTAACACCTAAATAAGAAAGAACAAAAAAGAGCATTGGAGAAAAACAAATAATAGGAGAATGCCCATGGGCCATGGCTCTATTGGAATTCCCTGAATAGGCTTATTGGGCCGAGGCTATCTAATATTACTTTTTCCTATTGAGAAAGTTAGTTTTGGGCCTAGAAAACATAGACTAGCCCAACACACTGTACAAAGATCTTCATGTAGAGTTTAAACCAAAAAAAAAAAAAAATCGCATCTTGGAGAGATCAGCAGCAAGCAGTAAAAATGGCGTTAGCGAAGAAAGGAACGGGAGTTTCGATCTGGATAATTCTGTGGGCGATCTTTGCTACCTTCGCCCTCATTCAGGTTTACTTATATGTATAAATTTTCCTCCATTTTTTTGAATTTCAAGTTTGTGTTTTTTTAAAAGGAATCTTTATTATGAAATCATGATCAAGTTCAATTGAATTTTATGGATTGTGCTTTAAATTTAACTTGTTACAGTTGAAATTTCCAATTTTTTTAAAAAAAACCTAGAATAAGTTAATCCAAGTGAGTACCCGTTTTGTAATGTATTCAGGCTAAATCAACAAAGGACAATCTGAAGGAGATAACACACAAGGTTTTCTTTGATGTCGAAATTGACGGGAAACCTGCTGGTATGGTTTTTAAAGTTTCCTTCTTTGAAAAATCTAGTTATATGCGTATCACTTGTATTCAGTTGGAACTAGTTTAGCCTTTTTTCATGGTTAAACCATATGCACCTATGCATGCATTTGCATCAAGGTATCCTTCGAATCGACCTTTTGAGTCGGTCAAGTTCAATTATGGGACAAGTCGTTATTGGAGATAACCAAAAAGTCGTTATCTAAGGACTTGGACGTTCGAGATAGTCAAAGGCCCGTAGGTATGGACTTGGATGTTGGAGATAGTATGGTCCTTAGCTAAGGATTTGGATGTTAGAGGTAATCGAAGCTTGGTAGCTAGGGACTTCGATGTTAGAGATGATTGATAGTTGTTTGCTAAGGAGGGTATTCCGAACATCTGCTTCCAGAAGGTCAGCTAAATTCGTGTAAAATAGATGAGAAAAGGATCATAATTGGATTTGAGGTCATTGAGGGTATGATCTAGCCCTACGAAAATATGGGATGGCTAACCATTACAAGAGTTTTGATGAGGGATTTAACCATCTCGATGTAGTCGGCTGTGGGTTGGCCTAACCTATGGTTTGGACTTTGTTCAACCATATCCATCACAAATGCAAAGGTGAGCTCTCAAAACACTTGGGACATTGCTAATCCATTGGGTTATACATACTTCCTAAGCTTTCTTGTCCAAATGTTGAGACGTTATTATGCTTTCACCTTAAGGCTGGTCAATTCTTATTGAACCATAGCTTAATTATATATTTCTATTCACATCTATGCTCGCTTGTAATATCCTTAAGATATTTGAGACGTCTTCTACCCCTTTTCCTTACTAAGTTAATCCAAAGTTTAAAAGTATCAGCAGTTTAAAAGTATCAGCAATTTAAAAGTATCAGCGAGTGCCAAACTTTATCAACTTAATTATGCTATATTGGTTAATAATGTCGAATACAATAGGAGATCTCAGGTTTGAAGTGTAAAATTATCTGATAGCATTAAATTGAGAAAATTAAATCAATGTAGAATGCTTGTGGATCATTTTTGGCTGAAGCTCCAGTTATCTATGTCTAATACCTTTGATCAGAAACTATTGAAACTCTCAATACTGTTCCAATGCCAAAAACTGAATGAATATTTTCAAACCTTGATTAATCTGTTGATCTACAAGAAGAGGAAGTGGCCATCAAGGTCATCCCTTGTTCTGCGCTTCTATCCTTCTTTGATCCTTTCCTTATTCTCCATGTTCAAATAAAGCAATTTTGTCAGGATGTCAAAGTTTCCATCAGGAGCTAATAGTTTCTGGTCAGGGTGGTCAGAGTTGGTTTACTTGCCAGATTTGAGCGAGGCTTGGTAAATCCAACAAAAGGATAAGTGCAACGCAAGCAAGACATACTTGATTTGATGATGGTTGGCGTTATTTGAGCAGGACAAAGTGCTTTGTCCTAGGGCTTGGATCCAAGCAAGACTTGGCAAGTCTTCGCAGGTCTGGTCATATACATACATGAGTCATTTTAGACTTGTTTAGAGTACATTATGTCCTATAAGAGTTTCATACATTAGATCAGAGTTCATCACATCTTAATGGATTCATTTGATTTGGCAAATTTGGAATTTGTTTTGTTCTACCCAACATTGAGCAATTTATACTTAGATTTCGGCACTTCAATTTAGTATTGAATCAACTATAGCACCACCTACTTCAACGAGCATTGGCGGTGCCGCAGTATTAGTTAGTCACAGACGTTATAGCTAGATCCCACTTTGATGGTGAAGTTGCTTTTTGCTGGATGTAGTCTTTAGATTGTTTTTTCCAGTTATATACTTATATATATGACTCAACAAGCAGATTTACCGAATGTATTTCTCAGTGCTGAAATCTATAGGTTTATGTTATGCACATTCTCACTATTCCCCGTGGATAGTGAGTTTAAGGAGGAGATAATGATGGTTTGATCGTTCTACTTTCCACCAACTAATTATGATCGAGGAATGCAGTGAAGTTGGAAAAGTATTGACTTGTTGATTGATTATTGGAGAGCAATGATACTCCAATAGTTTCTTTGGGAGGAGCAATGGGACTCCATATCCCATCATAACCGACCGCATGGGATGGGCGATTCTGAGCCACTTAATGTTTTCCTCCATGTTTATTACATTGAAAGGCTTAGAACCGCCCGCTCGCATGCGGACGGTTCTAATAGGAATTGGAACCGAGTAATGGGGATTGTAATTTTGGCATGGTGGTTGAATGTTCTAGAGGTTCTCAGTTATGCTGATTAACCAATTACCATTACTTAGTGGATAGATGATCTTCCACCTAGAAGTTAACAGGAAAATAGGTTGATTTGGTCAATAGTTTATGGTCTACAAACAGCTTCATGAGAAGACCCTCCAGGAGTTGTTTGTACACCATAAACAATTAGTAGGCTGTCTTTTCAAAGCTTATACAATTATGTCTGTTGCTTCTTTAATTTTAGTTGCTCATTGATATGATATGCTAATGATGATCATAGTTCTTTATATATTCAATTTAATCAGCAATCGATACTTGATCTCAAAATTGACAAGTATCATTTGACAAAATATATGTATGGAAACAGGTCGGGTTGTGATGGGCCTATTTGGAAAAGCTGTGCCAAAAACTGCAGGTATGCTTTTATTAGTGTTAATAGAGAGTACTGAGACATTCTGATTCATTTTATGCTTCATTTGTTTTATCCTTTACAGCTCATAGGCTTCCAGTTTCATATTAACTAAAAAGATCTATTACATAGAATTGAGTTGAAATTTGGAAACCATCTGAAATTTTTTCTTTTGTTTCACAGAAAACTTCAGAGCACTGTGCACAGGTATGTCCACATTATGGTTAAACTTCTTCTTGTTTATGCTTAATGCGTTGCAGTCTTCGACCTAAGTCGATTTTAGTGGGAACTTTGTCGAGTGTTATCTCTCTAACTAGTAGTTTTATTAATATAACTGCATCTTTTTATGATAAAAGATCAATACTTTGAACTCATTTTGAACACAACATTGCAATGGTTTAAATGGTGCATACTGGCAATTTAAGACACTATATTGATGGAAGGATCAAAAGAATAGAGCCCGCACCATTATCTGCTTTTGTATCATTGCATACTGATAAATATGAACAAAACTCATGACACTCTTAAAGATGAACATGTTGTTCATGAACCTCGGAATTATGGTTTCAATTTGATCTTTGTCAATGTATTTTTGCTGTTTAGCTCATCTTTATTATGCAAAGCATTTCTCAGATACATAAGCTATTGCTTCTAACAAAATTTTTGTAGTTTTTTTCCTACTCCTGAGCACATTGATCTAGGCATAGCTTTGGAGGATTGATTATCGGTCATACTTTCTAAGAGCAAATTGCCCTTCTCAGTCCTTTTTTCTTTACTGTAGTTCATTGGCCTAAAATTTGGCTGCAATGCATTTAATGACTTCCAACCAATTTGGTTGCAAAGCATTTTTATTTTGGCATCCCATTTGGGATCACTGAATTCTTACATAGGAGTTATTCTAAGAAGTGGGCTTTGCATTCAAATCTGATATTAAACTACTGGAAGGAAGATGGATCTCAAGTAGAGATAGCTTAGAATGGGTTGAATATTGAATTGCAGCTATAATAGTAACAAGGTGTCACATATCTTTTGTTGCTTGATTTCTCTCAGGTGAAGTATTGGTATTGCTCATTCTAGGATTTTTAAGAACTTTTACATGAAAAATCTTTCTTAGCAAGCTCATATAACAAAATGCTATAGGATTCAGTATCATTTTATTATATTATCTTGCATGTTCAAAATAATTACTTATTGTTTTAAAGAGCCCAAACATACTTCACAAGAGAGTAACCTATATGTTTGAAATTTGCATAGATCAAGAGGTTCTCTGGTTTCACATATTCTTTTTAGGAGGTTGATCACTAACAATACCCCAATGACTGATGATTCCTCCAAATAGGTGAATAAAGAGGGTAATTTTACCATGGTTACTTGATAACGACTGATACGAGACGCCGTGCGAGCACCTTTGATCGCGGAATTATCAAAGGTGGGCTTGAGAAGAGAACAATAAAAACACAAGAACAATTCAATATGACGAAGGAAAACACCTTCTCTAGATTATGAAGAATAAAAGATTACAAAATCTCTCCTCACAATCTCTCTAGAATAAAAAACTTCTCTATCCTCTTTAAACTCTAATCTGATAGTAACCAGACTTAAGATCCAGCTTCGTGAAGAACCTCGCTTCTTCCAACTGGTCCATGAGATCATCGATCCGTGGTAGTGGGTAACGATTCTTGATTGTTATCTTGTTGAGCGTCCGGTAATCCACGCACATGCACCAGCCTCCATCCTTCTTGGGCACCAACAACACTGACGACCCGGAAGGTGAACATCTCGGCAATATCACTCTCGTTTTCAGAAGCTCCTGAACTTACCTCTTTATCTCCTCGGACTCTTGTACGGATGTGCGATAAAGGTCTATATTCGGCAAAGAACTCTCTCCCGTCAACATAATCTCACGCTCTACACTCCGTCTCGGTGGTAGTCCCGTGATCTTCGAAAACAAGTCCGCATATTTGGCCTTTAACCTGTCAAGATTTCCATCCTGAAGCTTGCTCAAGGTAGTCAAGCATACTCTACTCAGCTGCTTCTCATAAGACCTAATAAATCATAAAATAAACTTCTTGCTCGTATTCACTGGCCTCTTCGTCTGAGTCATCGTCACCAAGCTCGTCTCATGCGGAAGATACGCCGAACGAAATATGAATTGCTCACCGTTCTTGATGAACGTATATTTATGGGCTCGCCTGTCGTAGACTGCGTATCTATCCCACAAATAAAGATTGCCCAATATAACTTGACAAACTTCAATAGAACAACGTCGCACATGACCTTGTCAATATACGACTCGTGGAGTGTAAATCTGAAAGTGCATTGATTGATGACACTCAGTCCTGCCTCCTTTTGAATCCACCCCAACGGATAGGGCTTCGTATGTTTGACTGTCTTCAGACCCAGCTTCTGAATTAAAGCCTCAGATATCAAAATCTTCTAACTCCTTGGATCAACTATGGCATCAACCAAGCTGGTCTTCACCTGTAACTTGAGAACAAAGAGCTGCTCTCTGGGATCTTCGTCCTCCTTCGCAGTCTGTTTTTGTGCCGTAAGGTTGAGACTACTGTTGTAGGCATGTCCATCGGGCCCGGGCCGGGCAAAACCGGAGCCCGGACCCGGTTGCCCCGGGCCGGGTTCGGGCCCGGGCCGACCTGATTTTCTTTGTTATTTAATTTTTTTTTATTTTTCAAGAATACAAAGCAAAAAATAAACATAATTTTGATAAAAATTATATTATTAATCAATTTTAATTATGTAATTTACAAATATAAAAAAGTATAAAAATTAAAATGATATAAAATAATTGTAGAATTTATATAAACAAATAAAATTAAAAATAATTGTAGAATTCAAAGAGCCCCAAGGCCTAATGTCCAATTAAAGACCTCCAAATATATATATTGTGGCTAAGATTTGAACCACTAACCTCCTCTCCAAACTCTTAAATTTTACCACTAGACTAAGTAGCCCAAAATATTAATGTCATTCAATATATGTATATGTATACACACACACACACATACATATATTATACATGAACAAATTGTAAATACTTATAGTAATTACATAAACAAGTTGTATTATACATAAACATATATATAAAAAATATAAATTATATATACACACACACACATATTTTATATAAGAGTATAAATATATGGGAAATATCAAATATGTAACTAAGGTGTCACCTTAGGTTGCACCTAAGGATGCGCAATCCGGACCGTCCATTTTAAAACCCTCAAAAAAATCTCAGCATTCCATTCAAAACCCCCTCCCTCAAAAAATCCCTACCCATTTTCTCATCTAAAATCAGATCTGGCCACCCTCTCTCCTCCACGGTCAGAATCGTCGCCGGTGCTCCCGCCAACGCTCAGCCGTCGTCGCCGTGCATGCCCTCGTTTGAGTCGACATCTGGTGCTCAGCACCGCGGCCACGCCTCCTTCGGCGAACTCACCGTTGCTGGTCCCGCCGCCCGCTCTCTCCGCGGCGCTACGGCTCTGGCGCCAAATCCCTTCACTCGAGGGGCCCCTTCATGCCGAGCTCGACCGTGCAACCGCCATCCATGATTCGCAACGGGGCAGATCTCATCTGCCCCCTCTTCCTCTCCTCCTCCCGCGATCGCCGCCGGACCTCTCCCCCCCTCATCCCGCGCTCGTCTGGCCGAACCCTTTCACCTCGAGTCTCCCCTTACACGCCAAACGCTCGACCCGCGGCCGCCAATCTCACGATCCCTCGAGTTCATCCTCAGCGCGCCTTGACTAAATTCAGCGCCCCGCCTCGCCGTCTCTTTGGCCCGCGATTCGCCTCCTCTCCGCTGCCACTCACGCCGATTCGCCTGCCCGATTTCCCACTTTCGCCGCCGCCATAGGCTTCCCGCATCGGCCGCAAATTCCCACTTCTAATCTTCCGTAAATTGAGTTCAGCCTTTACCCACAGCGAGTTGTCATTGCCCGCCTCGACCTCTTTACCTGCCATCTTCCTCAAGTTCCCTCTTCGTCGTAGCCGTAGCCCCCAAGTCATGGCTTCGAACAAATTGAAAGGGTCACATCATTGATTTCTTCAAAATCAAAATCTTTTCCATCTTCGTAAGTATATTTTGACGAAGAAGTTCTTATTTTGGTTGAGGAGGTTTCAAATTCTGTTGAAGAGGAAGAGGAAGACAGATGAAGAGGTTGAGAACAAATTTCAGTCTCAATTTTGGTTGACTGTTCTTCATTAGAGTTTCAAATTTTGTTGTTCTATGAAAAAGAATGTTAGAGTTGTGAAACCAAATGTTCTGCAGTCCATATCAGTTTATGTTGGAAGTAAAACCAATTTGGTATACTTTTTTTTGGATCAATATGTGTGTATATTTTTGGAATTTGTTAATGAACTGGCTATGATTACGGCATGCCAGTGCATATACACAAAATACTTTATTCGCACAGAAGATGCATGTATGTGTATTCAATTAGGTACGTATGTGCAGGTGTGATTGCCGCCAATTTGTGGGCTATTTCTGTGTGTTTATAGCGTATATATGTGCACAAGAGGGATCCATGTGCTGCACGGGTGTGCACTGAATATTTCAGTGTGCGATGGGGATTAATGTGGATAAGGACTTCTGTGCTGATTGCCCGTATGGTTGTTTTTGCGTGTGCATAGGGTTTTTATGTGCACAAGGGATCTATCTGCTGAACGTGCGAGCTGAATCTTTCATTGCATTTGTTATGGCTATCTTATATATGTTGAAGAATGGGACTTGCGTGCTGGTTGTGTGTGGGCGCTCAGGATATGCACACTGCCCTGCTTGTGCATGAAATCCACTGTTTATGTTAGATCAATTGGTGCACGAGCTATTCCATAATTTATGTAAAACGCACACGTGCAAGCATGATTACCAGCAAAATAAAAATAAACTGCTTGGGAGTGCACTCAAGCAGCCAGTTATGTTATATACTTGTCATGTAGAAGTTTAATTCAATGATCAATTTGTGATGATTGGTAATCACATGTCATGAGTCTAATAACATATTATGGAAATTATATGCATGATTAGAATTGTTTTATTACTCTTTTGTAACTCTTTAGACTTGTTTTGTACCCAGTTAATAAAGTTTTGTAACTCATAGTTCTGAAAGAAAATTTTGTAACTCCTTACTCAAATTTTATAACTCTTTAGACCTGTTTTGTACCTAGTTAGTAAAGTTTTGTAACTCATAGTT